ACTCAATCTAGATTAGAGTAATTTAAAGTGTTCACCTGAAAGGTCTATGTAATGAAGACTATGTAAACTTTATTTTAAAATTGACTTATCAGAATATCCCAAAAGTAGACCTTTTTGAGAAAATAGACCAAATATTATACCCTTGTTTCTTTGCTAATAGGAAATTTAATTAAATTGTTTTTAAAGATTATTTATAATAGAAAAATTTCAATAATTAAAAAATTAAATAATATTTTTTTACTAAATATATTATAATAAAATTTTTTATTATATAGATATATTAAATCTTTTTTCAAACATCACATAGATTTTTTACAAAAGAAAGGAGTAATGCCTTGTATGTAGTGTAGGCGGCCTGGCAGCTGTTCCACTTGCTCTCCCCACTGTTTGCATGACCCTGATATTATGTATCATGCATATTTAATTAACTTAAAGAATTCACTAAAAGAATGAGATAAAGTTTTCAGTGCTACTTTCTTTACTTGTCAAATAAATATAATTTAGATAGATTTAGTGGTTCCATTAAATTCAGTTAGAAGTCTTAATCTTCAGACCTTGGCAAGTTTTAAGATATGTTGAATGGTTGATGAAATGAAACAAATAATATATGTAATACTTATGAGCTATTGCACAATGAGAAAATCTTAATTTAATGGTTAAACTCCATTGAAGTATCAAATCTATTCAGTAGGTAATCAATATGAATAAGATTTGATGTGGGTTTATTTTTTTAAATAACTGTTTTTCTAATTTTTCCATTGAAATCCTTACACTCGGAGCATGTGATGATAAAAAAGAGTAACAGATTTCGGTCTTTATAGAATTAAGGTGAAAATAATCTTTAATATCAAACATTGTTCATTTGTTTTCTTGAATATATAATTTGAATATACTTTTCTCTCATTCCACAGATGAGATATATGTTGATTCAATTTTTCTCTTTCTTATGTATATGCTTAAGCATTGTATAATGTATATCATAAGGAAAATTAAATATATATATGGATACTCCACTACTCGCCTAGAAACATTTACAAAACCTTTCATTTTTATGAGATTGCAAATAGTGCTATTACAGAAATGCGGTTCGGATTCGGTTCAGGTGAATATTTTTGAAGCCGGGTTTGATTCCGGGTTCAATACGGGCTTAGGAATTTTTGAATTGATAAAAAATATTATATATATAAATTATAATTAAAAAAATAAAAATAAAATTTTTATTTTATTTATAAAAAATTTATTTAAGAATACAAATCATAGTCATGATATTAAAAATTTTATTTAGACGTATTAGCATTAAATCTATCAAGAGTTGTTTTCTCATCCTCGATCTATGTAGTGAAAGAATGAATTTTAAATGTGAAAAAGGCTATACTCTATTAAATATATTTATATGAAAATATGATAAAACTTGGGTTGCAGGAATAACTAAAATTTTGGATAAAATATATACAGGGATTTCCAAAAATGCAAAATATTTTCCATCTTACATAATCTTTTAAAATCACGAAATTCAATAATTATCAATCCAATACTTTTATCTGCAATCGTTGGCCCTCTTTTAAATATTTTCTCCCAACTTTCTTTAAGTTGTATCAATTTTTCTAAATCATTGTTCAATAACTTCGTCCTAACTATAATCATCAGATAAAATGGGCGTGGATAGTTTAATCCTACTCTATAAATTAACGAGACGCCCTTGGCACAAATCTATTCATCATTAAGTAATATCTGTAATATTTAAAGATTTATAGCGTTCATATTTAAATGAATTGAAAATATTAAAAAATCTCATATAATTATTAATATTTGTATTTATAATTTTACTAATATCTTTAATATATAATTTTAAACTATTTTCACTGAACCCCATTGAACCCGGGTTCCAAAAAATTCCCGGGTGTGGTTCAAGGTTTTTAAAAATTTACGTTCGCCGATGCCCAGTGCTGGTATCTGAATATATAAAAAATTGGAAATACGTGTTATATTTAGTCTTCATTTCATTCAATATAATTTTTATGAGCATACCATACAATTAAATTACCAGACCCTTCCCCCTAAACGAATAAAAAAAACAACGATGTCTGTTTTATCATCTAATCTTTATTCATATCAACGTTCACAAATATTATCAGAGTTTTAAAAAGAAATTTTGTAAAGATCATTATATTAACGAAATTTTTTTTAGGCATATAAATCACACATCGAAATTTTCGAAATAGAAGTTCTAACCTTTCTGCCATCTATGAGCAAAATCTCCAGGCTTACATAATATTCTTTTAGCTAAAATCTTAATCGGGCCCTTATAAAATTTTCCATGGTCCACCGACACCATTTTTTTGGCCCAAATCAGCCCGTTTAACAATACTACTTAGAGACACTTAACACTAAATTACCTGTAATACCAGCCTTCTCTATGTGAAATTAAATACTTTTGAAGCTTAGCCAAGGTATTTTAATATTTAAATTTGTTATTTTGATAATACTTGTGGAAAGGGATGGTACAATTTCTATTTCATCATTCAGAATCATTTGAATTTCATTTTCATTAAATGATAATTCTTATTAAATTCTGTGCAGAGGCGTAGCCAGGGGAAATTCCCCCTTCGGAAACTTATCTGTTCTCTCTTAAATATCATTTTAAGCTAATAAAAATTTTCCCCTTACACCACCACCCCATTTCCCCCAAAATATATTCAATATATCTCTATAACAAGAATTTGAAAGAAAAATAAAAATAATAATAAGTTAATATTATTTTTAAATAATGACTATAATTCAAAATTTTTATAAAAAAAGTTGCAAAATTATTTTTATAAAAATATAACATAGCTAAAGGCCTACAATAGGTGAACTACCAATAAAATTTATGGGGCAAAAACCAACATAATAGTGCCTTTTCCCGAGCAAAATCCATGTTATGATTCTGTATCTGACAGATTTGTTTTTTTTATTAATATTAACAATAAAAAAGGCCCTCATACAGAATCAGATATTTAATCAAAATTTGAAATTAATAAGTTTAATTTAAGATAATTTTATTATAATATAATATATTAAAAATAAAATTAATTATTTGAATATATTTCTAATAATATATATGAATATTTTCAAAATTAACTAGTTATTTTTAGCAGTTACATTCCAAAAAATATAACTGGTTACAATTACTAGTCAAATTTTTCAAATGTGACCTCTTATAGTTATTTTTTGGCATAAATGTAAATAGTTATAAATAACTGGTTACTTTAACAACACTACTAAATAGTAGTAAAAAAATTGAAAATAGTATTTAGATTTAAATAATTTGACGATTTTTACAAGTTCATTTTTATTGTATAACACTCAATTTTTCTTGTTAATTATATTATTGACCATTTTCAAAAATTCTAATATAATTATGTATATAATAACATCGTTTCGAGACTTTTTTTCTTTTCTACGGTAATACAAAATTATATATATTATGTTTATCAGTTACACAGTCTAACCAGGAATTTTTCTAAGGTGAGGGAGGGGGTGGAAATCATGTATTCTATTTTTCTTTATATTTTAAATTAGAAATATCACCTATTCTAATTAAAATTACAAAATTGAGTCTTTAATAATGTTATATGCTAATATAAAAATTTTAATTATCATACCTTATTACTACTTTAAAATATAACATAATATTTTATTATGTTATGAGAAGTAGATATTTTTTTTCGGTTCTATGAAAATAATTGAATTTTCTACTAAAGTAAATATATCTTGAGCACGGAGTTCTTTTACGTTCTTTTGTTGAAATGGTCAAATTAAAAGCCAAAATATAGGGTAATCCAAATATGTAGTACCACTTCTTTCATAACAATGACATAAGACGTTATCTTTGTCTTTGATCGTGGGAAATATGTTCCTTCTTTATCAGCTTTAATTCGATAACCTTTTTTAAACCAGAAATTATTTGCTTTTCCATTCATATCCATCAAAAAATTCAAATGAATAACATTTGAAAATGAAAAAAATTGATCTTAATATAATAAAGTTTTCAAACATAATATCATTTAATCTATGCTCCTATTTGGCCTATTAATTAAATTTGTAAAACTTAATAATCTTTCTCTCGGAGCAGAATAGACAAAATAGAATCATATTCGGTAAAAAAATATTTTAAATTTATTTGACATTATATCTTTGCACTCATCTTTTAAATAATTTAATACTTATTTATTACTTTACATTGATAGAAGCATTATTAACGTTTTATAGAATTTTTAAAACTAAAAAATAGTCTTCCAAGAGGATGAAATATTTACCTAGTCCATTATCTCATTTTTTTTTTGAATTAAGAAGGATTTATCTAAAAGCATATGATGTGAATGTTTTTTTTACTAAAAATTCTACTCATCTACATTTAAAATAAGGATATGAGAAAGTTGCGAAAAGATTATCTTATTTTATAAATAAAACGAGATTAAATGTATAAGATGTTTTTTTTCGCCTACTTGGGTCATAAATTTAATAATAAATTAATTTTGGATTTAAATTAGAAATTTAATTTATAAAAAAGTATTTATAATCGTCAAATTGTAATAAATACAAATATTGGCGTTACTGCTCACCTTTGGCTAAAAACTATTAACTACCAACAATTTTTTTAATATAATTTGTGTTTAATTTTCTCAAAACTATCTTTATAAATACATTGTTAAATCTGCAAAAATTAAAAATACTTTGTAGTTGCTTAGAAAAATTTGAACATAATCACAAATTACCTTTTTCTTAAATGTAGCTAATTATTTACTACTAATTACATTTAAAAACTGGACTAACTAAAAGTTAGTTCATAGTTTAATTACAAATGTAGTTAGCCACTGCCCAACCTTGACATAAATATGTTTATTTTTTAAAACAAAAATGTTTCTGAGTTGTTCGAATACTAATTAGAGATAATGCAAATTTTTTTGAAAATGTCATTTTACATTTTTTTCCCCTTAATTTCCATGTTCTACACTCAGGATGAGATCCGCATGCACGACGACGATTCTCAGCAGATTCCCGACCTAGTCTCTGCAAACGGAGAGATATCTACCGAGTTAATGGTCGATCCTATTTTAACCCTATTTGAACGTGCTGTCAAAGACCGGCTCTGCGTGGACACATGGCTCGAATACGCTCAATACGCTGTGGGGCGAACTGGAACTATAGGAGTTAGTGGTGTAAGGGCAATACTCGAAGCTGGTCTCGCCCAAGCAGGGCTTCACGTTACCCAAGGGGCCCTAATATGGGACGCATACCGCGAGTTCGAGTCTGCCTTAGCTGACGGCTATGCTCAAGCCCTCGAAATTGCGATCCAACAAAGTAAATCTCTCCTACCCACCCGCGTTTTTTATTGCTCCTCGATCTCCGCCCCTCAATTTTGATGATTTTTTTATTTGTAAAAATTCAAATATTTCAACCAATCTCAGGATTAAATACTTTTAAGGATTTATTATTAGCTTGATTAGACATTAGAAGAAAACTAGCATCTTTTTAGAGTTAGATCACCTTTCATAATGATCATTAACCAAAATTGGACGAAAAATAAATTGACTGAAAATTTTATAAGATTTTTTGTAGCGTCCAAAATTAAGCAAAATTATCTTCAATGCTATATTTCATATTTTTACTATTAAAAATCAATTTTAACATGCAATAAGAAAATTTTTTATTTTATTAATATTTAAAAATGTGCTAATATAATATCTTAAGAATTATTTTAAAAAAAAATGCATGATTTGCAGAAACATAGTTTAGCATAAAGTAGGAGGATATTAAGGAACCAGGTCAAAATATTGGCAGGTTTTTTATAGTAATTTTTAAATTTTTTATAGGGTATTGCTTTGCCCTGGTATACCACTCAAGGGTAAACAGTATTCTACATATTAATTAGACGCACTTTTGTTTAAACCGGTTCCTGGAAATTTTAAAATGGGTTCTGGTTTTTAAAAATAGTAAGAGAGGGCCTGGTTACAATTCTTAAATTTCTCGTGTTAATCAAAGTTTTATTATCACTTAAATATTTATCGCAGTAACTCAATTTACCCCGGCCTCAAGCCCATCCGAGGTGGAGTCTGCCACCAGCCCCCTCTCCATCGAATTATCGGCACAAGATAAACGGGTTCTCTCGCTCTTTAAACGACAGTTGGCGGTCCCATTGCTCGGTATGGAGGCCACCCTAGGAGAATTCCAAACATGGTCTACTAAAATGGGCCAGACTAATCGGCTGCCTCATCTATTACTAACCGAGACCGAAGCCACTGTGAAATGGGTTTTCGAGCCAGCCCAAGCCAAACTCGCCGAAATTTTGTCCTACGAGGACGCCGTTTTTACCGCCCGCCAAGCCATGCTTCAACTTTCCCCCGAACATTTCAATCACGAAGGTAACAATAGTATAGGGATAGGTGAAATGGGGGACGAGGGATCCGTGGACGATAAAAGTTTAAATTTATTAAATTCATATTACAAAACCCGGATTACTCGTTGAAGATTTTTCTGATATATAATTTTTAAATTTATTTCTTGTGGGCAAAAATATGGGCATGTTGCTAAATAACTATGTATTTTATTTAACACAAAGATCGTGATTTTAAAATTAATTTAGGAAGGGTTATTTTATCGAGATTTTTTTCGGATTGCTTTGAGGAATTTTTCGAATTATGGACAGTAGTGCTAATGTATCACTAGGTTTATTTTAATACTTTTCCTCTTAGGAAAATGTTAGTCTTTGTTTTTTGTAATACGAGCCTTCCAAATATTTCTTTTATATACATCTGATACGCTTAAGTTAGCTGTGAATCCATTTCCAACACCATTTCCCTCTTAGTCTAGGTCTTTTTTTACCCATTTTTTTCTACCATTGTTATTTTCTTAACCCAGTCTCTGTCGTATTGCTAGAAACATTTTAGACGTCTTCCATCCTTCCCCATCTTCGATCTCCTTCCATTTCAGATTTAATAACTATTTTAAACCACTTAAAATCTTCTTACTTTTAATTTTTTTTATTGTTTCTAACACTGTTTACTACGTGTTTATTAAATAAATTATACAATTTCCCCCTGATTATTTTTTTTACCAATTATTGGATCAATAAAGATATGTTAGAAAAGCTGCTATATATAAGAAACATGCGTGATTACTATTGTAGTTTTAACAGCAAGGATTGGCATCAGGCATTGTACTACAAGGAGGGGGGTATAATATTCAGCAATAACACAAATTGCAAGAGGTAGGATTTTTTATCATAGTGTCTTGACTTTAGCATACCCCCATCTCCTGAATTTTATTGCTTCCAACTCTAAAAGTAAATTAAAACCTTTCTATAAGTTAAATCAAAATTGATTTACAAAAAATGGAATACAAATAAATTTATCTAAGAATTAATTGATTTCATTATGATAAAAAGTAATTAGCTACTCATAGCTTACTCTTAGAAAAGTATTAGGCTAGAGCTGTACCTAGAGAGAAAATATAATTGGTTTTTGCTTATATATTTTATCAATGCCTAATCTTATTAAACCTTTTGCCATTTCTCGTAGGGTTTAGCTGCTCATTTTTAATTGTTATATTTTTTCCCCAACATCTTTTCTTCCATACAAATTTTTTTACAGAATTTATAGACCGGACAGCTGACTTAGCAGAACGGTTAGAGCGAACCTCCCGTGACTTGCGTGATTGTTATCGTTCGTATATCCGATATGAGACGGAGGCTTGTTTTTCTTCCTCTACCCACTCTGGACTCAAGTTTAGAGTAATACCCTCCCGAGTGGCTTGCTTATACGAAAGAGCTTTATCGGACCGCCCTGGAGATGCAGACTTGTGGCGTGGGTATATGACTTAATCGATATTTTCATAAGCAAAAAATAATTAGCAATTATTAAAGTTGCTCAGATATTTCATATTCATATAATCTAATTATCTTAAGCCAATAAAATTAATAACTATCAAAGATTCGATTAAAAATATATCAGCTAAAAAATATTTGGATGGAATATTATACAATAATAATGTTTAATTATCAGATTATCGATTAATTATAAGTAAAGCAAGGAATGGGAACTAATATTTCAAATACCAAGTATTGGTAAGTTTAAAATCTGGGTATTGGTTAATAAAACAAATTTTATAATTCTTGTTTTGGGTTTTTTCATAAAAATTGAAAGGATCTTCAGACTCATTTTTCTGGTATAAACCGTATTAAAATACAAGAAAAGGCATATTGTTTTTATAGAATACTTTCTTTTTTAGGATTAACACCAAGGATGTGAACCCGGATCCTGAACCCTCGTATTTTAGCTGAACCCGAACCCGGACCCTTTTTAAAAGTGGAGGGTCCAAGGGTTCTAGGTGTCATAAAAATTTTTAAAAATAATATTTTTTTAACTTTTTTTGTGGAATCATTTATTTTATCTTCACGTTTTTCTTTCAATTTTCTTCCTGGACTTCCATTTTATTTAGAGATTAATATCATTAGTGTAGGTAATAATATTTTATTATCTAAATTTATGCTATGTTATAGAAATACATTGATTATTTTTAAAGTGAATTGTGTATTAATATTTTAATTTAAATGATAATGCACAACACGTTGGTCCTCAATTTTTATGATGCTAGAACGATTCTTAAGTCTGAAAGATTTCTTATTATAGGAGTATTTGAAGTCATTTTGTCGGAAGATGATTGGTGCCAAATAAAGGACCTTACTAGTGTATTAGTTCCTTTAAAAATAACAATATTAAGATACAATCAGAACAATTATGTTTATTTGATTTTTATGGCATATGGATTGGATGCCGGTTAGATTTAGAAAAATTTACAGTCCTTTTTATACGAAATATTAGAAAACATGGAAATTCGAGAGCAACAATATTTGCAAAATAGTGTTGTATACGCTTCTAGATATTTAGACCCTCGATATCAAGTTTTATTGAGTATTGAGCATAAACTGGCTAAAGACCATCTTAAGGATTTATGGCATAAGCAAAACTCCATTATTTACAATATATTGGAAGCTACGACAATACCTATTGGTTGTAGCGATAATAATAATAATGATTGCAACATTGATGATCTTGAAATTTTACTTTTAGATAAAGAAAAAAAAATCAAATTATCTTCAGATAGAAAGGAAGATCAAAAAATGCCTATTGCATCTTTAATAGTAAAGTTCTCAGAAGTTAGGAGAATAAATAAGGATGTAAATATTTTAAAATTCTGGGAAGAAAATTCTTTAATATATCCAGAATTATATATATCTTATCTAGAATCTGGATGGCTGAACCGTCAACACAAGCACAATAATTTTATAAAGATAACTATCTATTTTAGGTAGAGGTAGAACGTGAATTTTCATCTTTAAAATATATTGTCTACTTTATGTGGAAATCTCAAGGATGATATTTTAGAAGATATTATGATTGTGCGGTTGAATAAAACAATTTAAAATATAAATTATTTAATTTGTAAATTATGAATATGTATATATTGAAGTATAATAATAAATGAATGAAAAAAAATATTATTTTGAGTTATTATTTTTATGTTCCCTGAACCCGAACCCTGGACCCGGGTCCTTTTCAACTTTTATTCATGAACCCGGACCCTTTTTTTGTCGAAGGGTTCACATCCCTGATTAACACAAACACAACCTATAAAAATGAAATTTTAGCAATTATTTAAAACTTATATGCAAAATATTGTAAAATGGAGTACATAAAAAATGTTCAGACTTTAAATCAAAAATTAATAATTATTTAAACTCAAGCAAGTAAATTGATTTAAATCTTGATTTTTATCCAGAAACATCTTTAAATTAGAATCGTGCCAACCCTAATACTGGCTCTTTATCAGACCGGTACCGAGATAAATTTATCAAAAATGAATGAAAAATATTGATAAACCAGAATAGGACTGGGCAAAAACAGGCCTAAATTCGGCAAATAGGTGGCAGGGAAAAAATCGTTACCATAAATGAAACATCTGGCAACCATGCTTGTACCGTAAGAAATCCAATATTTTTGCTATCTTCAAAGTTTAGCTATATTTTCATAAAGAAATCCGAGACTCGGCTAAAAATAAATAATTACCTTATAGATACTATCAAAGAGTTTAAAAATATATTCTGTTGTATATACAATATGATTTTTTTTTTAAATTCTTACATTTTCATATCCTCATGTATATGATACAAAGAAACTTATATAGATATGAAAATTTACAAGATTAAAAGAAGAATTTTTCCTAAAGAATTAGTTAAAATAATGATTAATTAACATACGGCCTTGTAGATAATCACCTTCCAAAAAACCCACATTAGATATCTTCGATTTTTTCATTCCACCAAAAGTAAAAAAAAATATATTTGCTATCATCAAGGACAAAGTAATCAATTTGAGATGCCACTACATTATGTTACTTTGACTCCACCCCTTTGATGCCCAATTTTTTTAATTAGTAAAAAAAAATTGTAAATTCTTTATTTATATCAAATACCTGGAGGCCCTTAAGCCCAGCCATGATCCACGGGCCAGGCCGTATTTTAATTTTTTAAAATATACCTGGGCCAGTCTAAAATTTTGTTTAATCTGGATCAGGTCAGGCCGTATATTCGCTATTATTACTATAAAATTAAAAATAAATATAATATATTTTTAAAAAATCCGGGCCAGGCCTGATATTTTTTTTAAAAAAAACCCAGGCCAGTCCTATAAAAAATTTTTGAAAAAAAAAATCCTAGCCGGGCTGTGCAAATGTTACCTCTGCAGGTCTCTGATTTATATACCCCTTTAAATTTTTAGTTTCAATTTTATTTTACAATATATTTATAAAAAAAATAATGATTCCATTTGGCATCATACAAAAATTTATTAATAAAAATTTTCACATTATGAGAATTATTGTCAGATTGTATGTGCAGTTCAGTTTGTGTAAATAATATTGAGTATATTTCACTAATTAAATATATGGTTTAATATTGGTACTGTAAAGCAATCTAATTATTGGTCACCCCTTCCCCCCCCCCAATATTTTGGTGATTTTGTTTCCCAAAATGGACAATAATAATTACCAATTTAGTCAACCTATCTTTCTCATAAAAATAAAGAAACTAAAATGATATGATTTTTTAGTTTGTTTAAGTTTTAAATATTTCATTTTTAGAAAGTTATCTATTCTATACAAAATTCAATAAATCCATTTTTTACATAGGTACGCCCACGATTTCTTTCTCCTCCGTTTGGACGATCCCCGTGCCTGCCGTCGAGTGGCTCTAAGGGGGGTTCGCAACTTCTTAGCTCCTCCTTCCGTTTCCTCCCGGTCTTCAGGGGCTGGTGGCGGCGGAACGGGTACAGCATTTGTACACTTGTGGACTTCCCTGCTCACTTGCCATGAGCGGGAGATCGATATGGATTTGTTTATAACCGAAGAGGTGAACTCTATCAGGGCATTTGGCGGAATGAGTGGTGCGACCGTTAACGGGGTAGGAATGATGGAGACTGGCGTAGAGATTTTGGACCAGGCAAAGTTCTTTTCTTGGGATGCTTCCGACTTGATCGAATTTGTGAGCATTAAAACAAAACCTTTTTCTTTCTTATAGTTATAAATGTTATTCTATCAATCCAAAATAAATCTTTGCTAGATTCCCAAATATAAATATGCTATAAATCTTGTAAATGATTATATTATATCCCCCAGATTACTGCTGGTCCCACTCATTCAGCGAATCTTTTAAACCGTTGGACTTATCCGAAAGAATGGCTGAGTCTTGCTCTAAAATACGGTATCGAATTGCCTTCCCGATTGAAGCCCGACTATTGGAATAAAAAATTACCCACAGGAGGTCGCGTTAGGGATTCCGCCGCTCGCGCTGCAAAGAACTCGGTTCACATTTTTATGTTCTATGCAGAGTTTTGCCGAAGACGATTGCATCTCTTGGGTATTTTCTAAAAAATTGATTCTTTATTTTTTAGATACCTTACAACAACGTTTAATTATTTTAAATCAAATACTTGCAATCCAGGGGCTAAAATGATACATATGAAGAAATTATCAGGACCAATGGGAATTTTTTTTTAAATCCAGGGTGGGCTCTAAAAATTTGTTATCAAAAATATAGTCACTAGAATTTAACCCAGACAAAAAAAGGTTCAGGATTTTAATATTTATCAAAAGACTTCAAATTTATGGGAATTAAATTTACAATAATATATAAGTTCTCATTCTGGTCTATAGAAATCTCTGATTAAAAATTTAAATCGATTCCAACTATACCGAATATCGGTTTGGTTAAGTTTGCGGTTAGGTTCATATAGGAATAACGGTTTAAGATTTTCGTTCGATTCTTAAAAAATTATCATCGGTTTAGTTCCTTCACAACCTGGGTTGAACCCTTTCGATTCGATAACAAACTTATTAGAATTATGTAAAAAGAAGTACCTATCTTTTTAATTATTTTTATTTTATCACTATTATATTAAATACCAATAGCAAATAACACTTAATTATTGTTGCCCATATAAATATACCTAAATTATTCGCTAAATAAAGTGATGATGGGTTAAAGCTATCAGTTTATTTCACAGTTGTTAACGCTCCTTTATAAAAGTAGCTAGCTTCCGCTCCTGCTCCTACCTTCTCGAAAGGAGCTAGCTCCCACTCCCGTTACTACATTTTTTAAAGGAGCTAGCTCCCGCTCTAAGTAATGTAGTGGCACTCCATAACTGCTCCTTTGATTTTCATTTTTTAGAAGGTATACTAAACAAAATCATATTTTTTTATCAAAAAGTTTTATTTATATTAAATGATCTATCAAAATATTTATAACCTTTTATTAGCTTTTAAAAGTAATAAATTTTCTAAATTAGAATCTAACAAACATCTACGCCTCTCCCCTAAGACCTCTTTTGCAATACTAAATAGGCGCTCTACAGGAGCAACTAGAGGGAAGTGGGGTATTGTATTTTATAAAGATATTTTTTAATTCAGGGAATTTAACAAAAAGAGTAATTTTGGTATTATTATTTGAAAAATATTTGTCCTCTTCCTGATGATCAATTTCATGGAATCCAAAAAAATCTTACAAATCATTTTGTATTAAAGAAAGATTTTTTACTTTTAGATGCTTTTTTAGATTGAAGCGGCTCACTTTTGAAAATTAAATAGTTTTATTTAAACACAAGAGGCATTAATTGCCCTTAAATTTGTTTGATCACTTGGATCAACATCTTTTAGAAGTTTAAAATATTTTTTATATGATGGAAATGGAAATTCGATTTCTTCATCTATAATCTCTAAATCCATAATATTCTAAAACTATTTTTTATTATATATCTATAAAATGAATATTAATATGACTTACAAGATTTTCCAAAAGATTTTCAATATAAAAAGGAAAACTTGATTTTTAATATTTAAAATGATTAGATGAAAATCCAATATAAAACTCGGCTAAACATTTAATAATGGATAAATTTAAATAAAATAAAATTTCATTTTTATTGAATTTTAATTAACAATTATTATTAATATTTATAAAATAATTTAATTTATACATTAAATTTAAATGAGCGGTGGAGCGGCGCTCCTCCACTCCAGCCTTAAAAGGAGCTAGCTCCCACTCCTCAATTCACGCTTAAAATTTTAAGCAAAAAAATCTTCTGAAGTTCAAAAAAATTTTTGAACATACTTTGAGAATTTTAAATTTTCTTTGTAAATAAATCATTTTTGAGGAATTCTTTTGAGAATTTTATTATAAATAAACAATCTTTTAGGTGAAATCTTTTATAGTTGTTTTTATCATCTTTATAAAATTATCTATTTTTTGTATATTAAAAGAGGTGATTTTTTCTAAATAATTTTTTTAAAAATATTTAATTAAACTTTTTAGGTTATTTTATATGATCTTTTTAAGAAAAATATTTGAATGTGACAATTGTCATATTCGTTATTTTTGAAATTTTTTGACACAAAAGAGTAAAATCATATTTATATTGTAAAGATGTTAAATTAGAAATTAAATGAAGATATTCCTTGAAAAAATGACAATTATTATAATCGGTATTTTTAAACATATTAGATTTTTTTTTTAACGCTAATGGGCAAAAATATGTATTTTTAACATGGTAAATTAAATTTCAATTAAGATGTAACATATAAAAGTGACAATTGTCATAACCGTTATTTTTAAAGTTTTTTTATTTTTTTTGATGCAAATGTGCAAAAATAAGTATTGCTAACATGTTAAATTAAGAATTTAGTGAAGTTGTACCATAGTTAAGTGACAATTATCATAATTGTTATTTTTAAAGTTTTTAAAATTTTGCCTTAAATGGGCTAAAATAAGTATTGCTAACATAATAAAACTTTAGTGAAGATGTACCTTAGATAAGTGACAATTGTCATGGTCGTTATTTTTAAAGTTTATTCAATTTTTTTGACGCAAATGGGTGTAAATATAAGTTGTAAACATGTTAAATTAAAATTTCAGTGAAGATGTACTATAGATAAGTGACAATTGTCATAATAGTTATTTTTAAAGTTTTTTGTATTTTTTTGACGCAAATGGGTAAAAATATAGATTGTATACATGTTAAATTAAAATTTCATGAAGATGTAGCATAGAAAAGTGCCAATGGTCATATTTGTTATTTTTAAAGTTTTTTGATTTTTTTTGAGGAATGGGTTAAAATATAAATAAAACATGTTAAATTAAAATTTCATGAAGATGTACCATAGAAAAGTGACAATTATCATAATCGTTATTTTAAGTTTTCAATTTTTATGACGCAAATGGGCAAAAATATAGATTGCTAACATGTTAAAATAAAACTTTACTCAAGATGTATAGATAAGTGGCAATTGTCATAATTCTTTATTTTTGAATTTACCCAAATGGGTTAAAATATATTGTAAAAATGTCAAGTTTAAATTTCATGAAGATGTACCATAGGAAAAAGTGGCAATTATCATAATCGTTATTTTAAAATTTTTTAATATTTTTTTTGAGAAATCATTCTAATATTTTTTAAAAATTTTATTGAAATAATTTAGTAAATCACAATCTTCATTCTTTAACTTTCTTATTATGAAATATGTGTTAGTACCATTTGGCGAAACAAAAAAACAAATGGCAATTTTTATACTCATATCATTGTCCCTTTTATCCTGCTTAAAATTTGATAAAAATATGCAAATTGATTACTAAAAAGAGTTGTAACTCATGTCAGATTCTAAACTTTTAATATATGGATTCACAATCTTATTCGTTTAATTAATAAATTTTAATTCTACATCTATTAAAATGTATAACCCTGCATTCACAGTTAGCAAAAATTTTGTATACTTACTGCGAAATCGTGCTGAGTCTTAATCCAGGGTAAGATTTTTATGAAAAGAATTTAAAATCCATATATCATGTTTACAATATATATTTTAACCCATTTACGTCAAAAATATTCAAAAACTTTAAAAATAACGATTATGACATTTGTCACTTTTCTATGCTACATCTTAATGAAATTTTAATTTAACATGTTTACAATCTATATTTTTACCCATTTACGTCAAAAACCTTTAAAAATAACGATTACGACAATTGCCACTTTTATATGGTACATCTTAATTGAAATTTTAATTTAACATGTTAGCAAATACTTTCTTTTTGCCCATTTGCGTCAAAAAACTTTAAAAGTAACGATTACGACATTGTCACTTTTATATGGTACATCTTAATTTAAAATTTATAACATGTTAAAAATACATATTTTGGCCCATTAGCGTCAAAAAATCTAATTTGTATAAAAATACCGATTATGATATTGTTAGTTTTCCAATGAACAACTTCATTGAATTTATAATATCTTTACGATATAAATATTTTACCCTTTTGTGTCAAAAATGTTAAAAATTAACGAATATTACAAATGCCACATTAATATATTTTCGTTAATATAACATATAAAATAATATAAAAAAGTTTATTATAAATATTAAAATAAATATTTAGAAAAAATCACATCTTTTAATATAATTAAAAAATAGATAATTTTACAAAGATGATAAAAAAAATTAAAAGATTTCACCTAAAAGATTGTTTATTTATAATAAAATTCTCAAAAGAATTCCTCAAAATTGATTTATTTCAGAGTTGTTAAGGAGCCGCCGCTACATTTTTTCAAAAACACCTGGAACTCCCTCCTTTTTAAAATTGGGGAGCGGGAACGGGAGCTAGCTCCTTTTAGGTCTGGAGTGGAGGAGCGCCGCTCCACCGCTCCTTTAAATTTAATTTATAAATTAAATTATTTTTAAATATTAATAATATTTATTCATTAAAATTCAATAAATGAAATTTTATTTAATTTAAATTTATCCATTATTAAATGTTTAGCCGAGTTTTATATTGGTTTTTCATTTAATCATTTTAAATATTAAACATCAAGTTTTCCTTTTTATATTGAAAATTTTTTGGAAAATATTGTAACTCATATTAATATTCATTTTATAGATATATAATAAAAAATAGTTTTAGATATTATGGATTTAGAGATCATAGATGAAGAAATCGAATTTCCATTTCCATCATACAAAAAATATTTTAAACTTCTAAAAGATGTTGTAAATGATCAAACAAATTACGGGCAAAATGTCTTTTGTGTTTAAATAAAACTATTTAATTTTAAAAGTGAGCAGCTTCAGTCTAAAAAAGCATCGAAAATTAAAAAATCTTTTTTTTAAAAACAAATTAATTTGGAAGATTTTTTTGGATTCTATGAAATTGATCATCAGGAAGATAATATATGGACATATATTTTTTAAAATGATACCAAAATTCTATTTTTGATAAATTCCCTGAATTAAAAAATATCTTAATAAAATACGATACCCTGCTTCCCTCTAGTACTCCTGTGGAGTGCCTATTTAGTATTGCAAAACAGGTCT